TGGTTTTGGCGCATGTAAGTAGTCGAATTCCTGTTTCAATTTCCTCTGTTCTGCATCAAAGGATTTTCTGTGCATGCAATTGTTTTGATTTTGATGTTGCCGCTTGTGCTTTCTCTTCGATGTTCCTTCTAACCCTTTCGTACACCTCCACAGACTCGAGCCTACTAAATCGCTAGCCAAGGAATCGTAATAGAAAGGAAGCTATTACCGGCATCAAATTGATTTCGCAGTTCTTAGTCGGTATGAAACAACATCCTTCTTTCATGTTCCTCGTTCCTCTGTCAAAGGTTTTTGTACTGTTCTCATTTGTTTAGGACGCTGATATCATCATCATCCTCCTTGTACATGAGTTTGCTTTTCAAGAGGCAAGGCTGGTTATGATTTTGATCTCGCATGCTTGTGCTTTCTTGGTTGTGTGAATTCCCTTCGAGACATAAGTGCTTCTATGTATGTGTGTATGGGTTTAGATTGGTGGAATCTTTGTTTTAGGGTCATTGTGTTGATTTTTCTATTAAACAAAGTGAGTTTGTGTTAGATTCTTGCTCAATCTATTTCTAGAGATTGATTTGATGATTGAAAACATATGTGAGGGTGAATTTTCCTCTGTAAAAACTGCCAAGTAATAACTAAAGATGAAGTAAGTGGGGTTGGCCTCAGAATCCTTTCTTTGGCCCTGATTTGAGAGGGAAGTTAATATAAGAGCCACATTGAAGAACTTCTGTTCCAATTTTGTTTTTAATTGAATATATGGAGTGATTGATCCTTACATTCTGTTCTTACATGTGTTAAGTCATTAAAAGTACAACTTGTGCAGGAGTTTAAGTAATAGGTTTGCTCATGTTGAATGGGTCTTATATGTGCAGGTGATTTCGACATTCTTCACTGTGATCTAGGAACTCCCAAAACAGGGCAGCAGTGAAGGTTAGTCTTATCTTTATGCATAGTGAAAATGAACAAAGATTGGATGAAGCTAAAGAATAGATTTTCTGAAGAATATATAGCGGGGGTTGAGGAATTTATAAGGGTTTCAACTAACCATGTTGATGAACTTGGTAGAATCAGATGCCCGTGTAAAAAGTGCAATAATTGCTACTTTAAAGTTCTAAGCACGGTGAAAAGTGAGATATTTAGGCATGGCATGGTGGAGACGTATACTAGATGGATACATCATGGCGAGCCATTTGAGGTTGGCAGCAATAGCAACACAAACCAGCCGCATTCTCCTTTTGAGAATGAAATTGAAATGATAGATACTGACATTCCTGATATGCTGGATGATTTAGGCCGAGCTACTGCTGGAAGTTTTCCTTCAACAGATGGGGCAACAACTAATAATCCTTGTTTAGCAAATCTTTCTGGCAATTTAGCTAGGTTAATCAATGATGCCAACTGTCCTCTATATCCGGGATGCAAGAAGTTTTCGAAACTATCCTTCGTCATGAAAATGATGAATAATAAACTACTAACCAATAGTAGTGATAAAGCATTTAACTTGAATCTTGAGCTATTCAAGGATGCTTTACCAAATGGGGACACACTTCCAACTTCATTCTATGAGGTTAAGAAATACATGAAAGATCTCGGTTTTGGTTACACTATAATAGACGCATGTCCCAACAATTGCGTTCTATTTAGAGGTCCTCTCCAAAATGTAAAAACATGTCCAAAATGTGGGGAATCTAGGTACAAACCTGGTAAACAGAAGGAGGTGGCCCAAAAAAGAGCTCGGTATTTCCCGATAAAAGATAGGCTACAAAGGTTGTTCATGACAAAAGACCTTGCTAAAGACATGAGGTGGCATAAGGAAAAACGTGTTGATGATGATGTACTCAGGCATCCTGCTGATGGAGAAACTTGGAAGCGCTTTGATAGAGATCATAGCTGGTTTGCTTCGGATCCTAGGAATGTTCGACTTGCTCTTCTTAGTGATGGGTTTAATCCATTCGGAAACATGAGTACTAGCTATAGCATGTGGCCTGTAGTCTTAACACCATATAATCTACCTCCTTGGAGCTGTATGACAGAGCCTTTTTTCCTTAGTATTCTGATACCTGGAAAGCAATCCCCGGGTAATAATATACATGTTTATTTAGAGCCTATGATAGAACAATTGAAAGAATTGTGGGAAGATGGGGTCAATACTTATGATGCATATGCTAAGGAAACTTTTCGCTTACATGCTGCATTGTTATGGACAATAAACGACTTTCCAGCGTATGGAATGTTATGTGGGTGGACTACTAAGGGTAAACTAGCATGTCCCGTGTGTAATAACGAGACATGTAGCTTGCGTTTGCAATATGGAAAGAAAGAGTGCTACATGGGTCATAGAAGGTGGTTGGACAAAGATCATCCGTGGAGAAAAAGCAGGAAGTTTGATGGAAAGCCAGAACACAGAGGAAAACCTAAAAATTTATCGGGGGCAGAAGTACTTGAACAGATCAATAGGGCCTTTCCTACAAATATTGCTGCCAGCGAGAGTGGTAAAAGAAAAAGGGGTGCTTCGGAGAATGTATTTAACTGGAAAACGAAAGCCTCGTTTTGGAGTTTGTCATACTGGAAAACTATAGAATTACGGCATAACTTAGATGTTATGCATGTAGAAAAGAACATAAGTGATAACGTGTTAGCAACACTACTGAATATCGATGGAAAGACCAAAGATACAGCTAATGCTCGGATGGATTTGAAACTCATGGGTATTCGAAAGGAATTACAGCTGCAGAGATATGGTGATCAATTTAAAATGCCTCAAGCTTCATATACCTTATCTTCTGAACAATGTAGGCAGTTCTGTGATTGGTTAAAAACCATCAAGTTTCCCGATGCCTTTGCCTCAAACATTTCTCGTTGTGTAACTAGTGATGGTAGGTCAATAACTGGTATGAAAAGTCACGATCACCATGTGTTCTTCCAACGTCTATTGCCTGATGCGGCACATGGGTTATTGGGGAAAGAAGTCTACAAAACTTTGGCAGAATTGGGTGCTTTTTCCGAGAGTTATGTACCAAAACAATATCAAAGGCAACTGTTAAAAAGCTGGACAGCAACATAGTTCTCATATTGTGCAAACTAGAGATGTTATATCCACCAGCCCTTTTGTTGTTATGATGCATCTGCCAATTCACCTACCCCATGAAGTAGAGCTTGGTGGCCCGGTACAGTACAGATGGATGTATCCTATGGAAAGGTAAGTAATAAGGGTAAACTATATAAATCTAATTAACTCTTCTATAGGAGTACAATATAATTGATATCTAATGAAATTATTTGTTTGCATGTCATTAGGTTTTTAGGTACCTTAAAAAGTTTTGTTCGTAATAAGGCTTATCCCGAGGGATCCATTGCTGAAAGATACATAGCAAAAGAGTGTTCTGAATTTTGCTCTAGATATCTGCAAGGAGTTGAAACAAGAGCAACTCGTCTAAACAGAAATGATGACGGATCTGAAGTGGTGGAGTCTAGTGGGTTCTCTGTTTTCAACCAAAAAGGGAGAACATTAGGAGCAACTAATTATGAACCAATATCATATGCAGAATTTCTTAAGATTCAGTGGTACATACTCAATAACTGCGAAGAAATAGAAGACTACTTTAAGTAAGCTATAACTCTTTTGTTTTTCATTGTCAGTGTAAAATCTTAGCTCAAATTCTAATTTATAAGCTGTGCACAGTATCCATAAGGAAGAGATGATGAAGCAACATCCTAACAGTACAAGGGAAATCATTGAAGCTAACTTTCCAGCTTGGTTTAAGACATATGTAAGACAATCTGACTTGTCATTGCAATCTTGGACCATAGTGCATTTGTGTGCACTTAGCCCACGTAATACATCTAACTTACTTGTTTTATTGATTGTATAGGTTTCCCAAATGTTTCTGGATGGTTTGCTTAAAGAGAAAGACCATCTATATGTCCTAGGACTAGGAGCAGATGAGAGAATGACTAGATATAATGGAATCATCATGAATGGAGTTCGTTACCAAATTCATGATAGTGACAAGAATCACTGTACACAGAATAGTGGAATTTTTGTGATAGGCGACCACAATGGAGAGACCATAGACTTCTATGGTCGACTTGTGGAAATCATCAAGATTCAATATTGTTACGGTCATAGTGTATTTGTGTTCAAATGCGATTGGTGGGATGTAGGAGACAAGAGAAATGGAATACGATCAGATGGCTATGTAACAAGTGTGAATCTGGGTCGAAAGTGGTATACACATGACCCTTATATTTTGGCTAGTCAAGCTAATCCGGTTTTCTACATCAAGGATTTAAAGAATGGTGGTAGTTGGCATATCGTACATAAAGTGTGTCCACGACATGTATATGACGTTCTTGAGAAGGAGGAAGATGATGACGTGGATCCACTCTATGATAATCAACCATACCAACAAGACGGGAATGCTTACCTTTCTGAACTTGAAGTGGATGATAGCGAGATACAGCTGCTCAGTCGTGATGATGAGGCTCCTACTATGATTAGTGAAAATGTCATTCGAAAAATAGATGAAGTAGCTCAACGAGAGGAATCCAGCAGTGATGAGGAAGAGGATGACACTCTGCATGACTTTGATGACAACTCTAATGAGATTGAAAATCAAATATCATTCGATTTATATGATAGTGACGAGGAAGATGACAAGTAGCTAATAGACTATAGCATTTTATTTTATATGGACAGACTTTTTGAATCACATATACATTCTTATTTAAGTTTTCTTATTATACGAACAATTTTGTTATATATATTCTTGAACATTTATCTTATCACATATAGCTTCTTCATTTGGTTTGTCTTGATGGAAACTTTTGCAGCTATGCCTCCTAGGAAGCGAAAGGGAAATGAACAACCTTTGGGAGCTTATTATCGAGTAACAAGAGCACATCCAGAAATAGAAACTGGCACCATTTCGCAGAATGGGAATTCTGAAAGCTCCACTCAAAATACAGTGGAGAATGAGGTGCAGGCTGGGAATCAAAATACAATGGAGAATGACGTGCAGGGTGGCAATCGAAATACAGTGGAGCATGAGGTGCTCGCAGGGAATTCTGCTGGATCCACTCAAGAATCTGATGCACCTACTACTGAAGGTTGTGTTTTGATTTTTACCAATATCTTATCAATTTAGTTTCTGCCTTCTCTCTTTTGCTTGATTTGTTATGCAATGGGCTGCCTGGATTAATCTTGAACCTAGATTAACTGATTAAGTAGGTAGTAGGTAATTCAGTCGCATCTCATATTTTAATATAAAGAAAATATTTGTTTATGATGATCAGGCCAATCACAGAATAAAAAGCGGGGGATAACCAAAGGATATGAGGTCATGAAACGAGTACAAGATGGTACAAAGATTGGTGGAATCTTTCTCCCAGAAAATGGGCAGTCCTTTGTTGGCCCTAATGTGAATTTATTGAAGACGGAGATAGGAGTCATTACACGTCTCATGGCCCCATTAAGGAAGTACTATTGGTCAGAATTGACTGAAGCTGAAAAGCAACCACTGTTTGCAAAATTGGAGGTATTCTTGATGTTTATGCTTGCTGCTAATAGTATTTGCATTGAAAACTTCCACTATTCTATTTTTAATAGGTAAATATATGGGTTGTGCTGACTTACAACGTCTTCTTTTCTATATTTGTATTGTTTTTATGCAGACTGAGTTTGATATAAATTCAAATGATGTAGCTATAAAAAAGATTCTCAGTTCTAGAATGCAAAAGCGGTTCCTCAATTATAAGCACCATTGTAATAAGCATTACAACAAAGATCCTTTGACAGCTCGCTCGAACCCCCCGAAGGTGTGAAGCTGGATGATTGGCAGCTATTGTGTGATCACTTTGAGAGTGATCGATTTAAGGTAAATGTCATTCTGATTCATGCTCACTAAAAATTTGTAACTCCTGTGGGTTAATGATTTTTCCCTTTGCAGAATCGATCTAAACAAAATAAAATTAACAAGGGTAAGCAACAGTATGCTCATACCACTGGAGCTAAATCTCATGATCAAAGAATGTATGAGATGGTAAGCTTTCTCATTCAACAATGCAAAAATTGATAGTTTTTTAGGGTCAGTGTAGCTAGGCTGCAGAACTAGTGAATTAGAGAATAAGAGTGGTTGGTTTGTGTTTGGTTATGTACAACCTTCTTTCTTTCACCTTCCTGCAAATGTATTATCAAACTTGATCTAGGAGAAGAAGAAGCAGTCGACTGAGCAACCAAACATGGAGGTTGGAGATGAACAAGTTGATGAAATGGAGGAGGAGCCCAAAGATATTACACTCTATGCAAATACCCATAAGAGAAATGATGGAAGCTGGGTGAGCGAGGAACCTAAGAAAAACTATGTAAGCATTTCATATCATTTGAAAAAAAAAGTTCACTTTATTTATAGTTTGAGGTGCTACCAAGCCACTTACCTAGATAAAACCATGTTGTGTATATAGGAGGAGATGATAGTCATTCATACCCAAGCAAAAGAAGATGGGAAGTCCTTATCTGGTCGTGAGATTGTTGAGATGGTGCTGAAGAAAAAGGTCAAGTATGGACCAAAGGAAACAGTTCGTTCGACAAGAGAGATACAACAGGAAGCAGAATTGCAAGAGGAAAGAGCTGAATCTGAGAGAAGAACAAAGGAATTTGAGGCCAAGATACAATCCCAAGAGGAAAAGATACAAATTCAGGATGAGAAAATACAACTTCAGGAGGAGAAGTTACAAATGCAAGGTGCGGAAATGCAGCAGCTACGAGAATCACAAGAGAAACTTCAGCAGCAGATGGAGTCATTTGCTGCAACACTAAATCGGAAATGACCATGGATTCCTTCAGTCAAAGGTAACTATCTATATTCCTAGTCCATTGTTCTTAAAGGAGCTGAATTTATATATGTCTCGTTCTCAAGTTGAGTTGTGTGTTGGGACAACAACTATTTAGATTAATTGTCACTTGAACATGGATGTGAGTAAGTGACAAACTATATTCTTTTTCATTGTTTTCTTACAGATGTTGAAGATTATTAGGAGCAAGGATTAGATGGCAAGGGAAGATGTTAAAAATTAGAAGTATGAGCTGTCCATTTTGTCGTAGGATGTTCTCCTTTATGGTGAACCAACGCTAAACTTGTTCGGAAGCCTTTTTCTGGATTTCGTTGGAAGACTATGTTGAAATCAAGATGGTACTGAATTGAATGTTTGGATTTGGATTGAGGGATTATTTTTATTTAATGTGGTTGGATTCTCTAGTTATGACTATGAACACAGGGTTCAATTCTGTCAATTTGTGTGTCATTCATGGTAAATTTTGACAACACATTTGTCATAATACAAAACAAAAATGACACAGACATGTTGTCATAATATCCAAGTAATATAATCTGACAAAACAAAAGTCGTCATTTATTATGGAATTTATGACAAATTTATCAATTGTCAGAAATTGCAATAATGACTCGTAAACCTTCCATGACAAAAGATGATGGTCGTAATTCTATAGGTATGACAAAGTAAAATTTGTCATAATCCAATAACAGAACGAATATCAATTGTGACAACAGTCGAGTATGACAAAATGTAATTATCATACTTCGCGGTGTTTGTCACATTAAGTTAGATAAAACTTGACATCTCGTGACAAACACCGTTGTAGAATGACAACTGTGTCAGCTTAATATGACAAATCATTTTGTCATATTAGTAACATGTTTATGACAATTTATAAAGGTCACATTATTGGTAGATCTAGTATGACGAACATCTAAAATTTTTGTCACAGTAAGTCAACGGCGACGGCGATATTACGACAACGTCAATGACGAATGATATTTGTCACAATGGATGTAATATGACAAATTCATAATGTATTGTGACAAAGTCCTTGCGTCATAATTGACCTAATTTGTTGTAGTGACTACAAATATGTTTTAGTTAGAATGTCATTTAGGATTTGCTATTGCAAACTTTAGACAAAACACTAAAATTATTTAAATATATGTTCTAACCCGGACAAAAAGTGGTGTCTACACGGCTCATTTTGGTGTTTAAGATCGGCTTGTCTTGTCGTCTTCTTGCCTCTCATCTACCTCCTTGCTTTACCCAGCTAATCTCGGTGTTTCGCAGATGCTTGCAGTCTTCCTTTGTGAATCAACTCGGACGCGGTTGGGAGATCAGAAGACAAAGACTTGATCTGTGTGTCTCTTCGTCGGACGCCCATCCTCTTGCTTAGTTCTCTTTTGGGGGCTTCTGAAGATGTTTTGGTCCTGTGAGGAATGGGTTGGTGACGAGTTATGGTCTTCTTTGCTTGTCCTGCTTCAATCTTCATCGGGGTTGGATTTTGTTCAATCATTTCGACTTCCAATCGGTCCTGTGGAGTGGATGTTCTCCCGATTTGGAGTTGTGTTGGTTGATGGTCGGTTTGAAGTGATGAATCCAGCGGTGGCAGCTTAGACATGGAGATGCTATTTGCTAGGGTTGTGAAGGTTCCTGTATAGGATTTGGTGGTTTGTGTCATGAACCAGTTGCTCCCAACAACTCGAGTTGTTGGGAGAAGGTTATGCTGGATCTTATACCACTCTCTAACAGTTTGGACTGATTTCTTTTTGGCCATTGATCATTTGTTGCGGGCCTGATATGTGGCCTTTTCACTTTGCTAGTATTTGTGTTGGTAGTCTTACCTTTGAGTTAATACCCACTTTAATTCATACACTTCTCAGTTTTAATGAAACTATCTTATAAAAAAAACAACTATATTACATGAATTAAAGTTCTGTATTTTCCAAGTACTTGGAATTGAAACTCACAAAATTTGTTCAAAAAATTCCAACATGAATTCTTCCATATTCAACCAAGTTGAATACACTCGAACTCTTTTCAAATTTCATACACAATTCAAACTCAATTTGTTCAAATCGTATTACTTAAAAACTTCCCAAAGCATGAGTAATTATGCCAACTATCGAACAAACATAAAGACACGAATAAACATAAATTCTTTTTTTTTTAATAGAGAATAGACATAAATTCTATTACAACACCATCACGGCAACTTAATTGGTGAATTAAATGCATGTGCAACTTAAATGCATGTGGGATTGGATTTATTAATAAAGTTTATTAATAAATCCAATCCCACATGCATTTGTTTAGTCAAACCGATTGACATCAATCAAAGTCGTCCGGTGTATACTGTTTCGTCGGTTTAGAAAGTGTAATGATACGACTAGTGGTACAACTGGTTTGTATTGGTTCATGCCAATTTAATCAAATTCTATGTTCCAAATAAAATAACAAATACTCATATTTAAATATAACATTTAACATGAATATCTAAACTTTTATGTATGAATATAACAAATTACATCAATTTTTAACTTTTATATTCATAAAATAACAAATACTCATATTTAAATACAACGTTTAACGTTAATATCTAAACTTTTATATCTAACAAATTACATCAACTTTTAGCTTTTCTATTCATAAAATATATAATAAATTTATTTTCTATCAATCAAATTTACTACAACGACGTCAATTTACTACAATGAACCAGATTTTACCGATACAGGTTGAACCAGGTCCGATCGCCCGGCATGCCACCAGCACGACAATTTTGGTGATTTATAATTGGATATTAGGGTTATTAAAAGATATCAGAGAGAAGATGGATAGCTCTGAAGATACATTGGTATCTATATTGATAGGACTAAAGTACATTATATAGACTCTGACCTGAAATCCTAATCGACTAAACTAATAAAATACTAGACTAGTTCTGATCGGTTACGCGTTCCGTCAACAATCCACCCCTCTTGATCTTTAACGAACGTTTTCTCACTTGTTTTATGTCGATTTTATATACTTTTGCAAGAAAAAAAATTGAGTCATTTTTTACCAGTGTATACCATATGGTATTGACTGGTATTGAAATAAGAGCATATCATATGGTATGAAAAAAGTACCATGGTGGTATGAACATACCAACACTGTAGGATGGTTGAATACATGATAATAGGAGTATACTAACTATTATTTATGACTTTAAACATTGTGTACCACAAGATACCACCTCGTACCAGGGTGGTATGGTGTGGTATTATTTTGTCCAGTATTTTGTTCACCTAGAAATTTTTAGATCCAATAGATCATGATGAACTTGTTCCTTCTATGCAAAAATTTTCAAAAACGACTTAAATACAAAGAAGATAGCATATGGTATGCAGTTGGTAACGAGAGGCAAGAATTTTTTTTCTGAATAAATATTGAAAATTGATCTCATTTTGTAGAGCACAACGAATTCGTTCCATCTGTGGAAAAAAAATTGAAATTCAAGTTAAAATGAAGAAAATATTAATCAATTAAGAAAATAATAAAAAATAAAAATGTCTTTAATTTTCCACATTTATATCTGAATTTTCTCAATCAAGAGTACAAATTAGTTACGGATGGTCTGGGCTCAAGATAGGGTGAGTAACCTTAGGGTGAGTAACAATGAGTAACCAAATTTGGACCCTTCTTTTAAGTGACTGCAGATCTAAGGGTGGAGAATTAAAAAAATTTATTTTCCCTAGTTTTCTTAATTGGATCATATATTCTTCATTCTAACTCGGATTTCAATTTTTTTTGCACAGATGGAACGAGTTCGTTGTGCTCTACAAAATAATTTCCATTTTCAATATATTTTTTGAGAAATTTTTTTCATCCCTATCGTTGCCAACTCCATACCATATGGTATCTCCTTCGTTGTTTAGTCATTTTCGAAAATTTTTGCACAAAGGAACTATTTAATCATGATT